CTGGGTTTAGCCTTTGCTCCTCTCCTCTGTGTTGTGGCTCAGCTGTAGCAAACCCACGGATCTCCTGCAGCTTGGGAGCATCCACACAGATGCCTTCGAGAAACGCGGTGGCCGCCCCTTGCTCCCTGAAGGTGCCTGCTTCAGGGGGCTGGGGTAGCCTTTACCAGCATTCATCACTCAGCAAAGCCATGCAATAGTTCAGGACAGGAATGAAGACAGTTCTCATTCGGTTTCTGTGTATAAATAGCACTGTGAATCTGAGATCCCTCCCCGGGACCCTCCTGGCACGCTGGGGCATTTCGGGAAGCAGGGCACAATGTCTCCTGCGCTTCCCGGGGGATTCGTGCGCCTGGTCCTTCCCTGCCGGGGCGGCGAGGCAGCCTGTTAGCTCTTTCAGTTTTGTTTTACCTCATTTTTTTTATTTGATACTTGAAGAAGCATCAGTGATGGACATTGTACAGTGGTGCCCTGGACTGGAAAGTGGATGCACTTTATCGTCACTTGTGTACGGACAGTGGGTCCCATCCCACCTCTGCCGAATCCCAGCAAGGTGTCCTTAGTGGCAGCAGAGCCAGCATGGGCTGGTTCTTCCAAAACCCTTTCTAGGATGTTAGGGAGCAATCTCTGTCTTTTAGTGTGGATTTTCACATCCTGTAGAAACTTGAAGTCATGTTCTGCTGTCAGTTGACCCAGTGAAAAATTCAGCTGGAATTGTGCTAGGCAGACTTTGGTTTGCCTGTGCTGTGCCAGCAGGAGACAGCAGAGGTTGGGCAGCTCCTGCCTCCCTCCCTTAGGACTCCCCTGTTCCAGTGGGTTACTCTGAGGCATCCCCACTGGATCTGCTCCAGCATCATCCAGGGCTGCAAATGGAGCAAATTGAAAGTCACCCCCTGTAAAGTGACACTAATGTAAAATCTGGAGTAGTTCCACTACTGTCTGAAAATGAAGTCCCCCTCCAATGGTGGCACTGGGTTGCTGACAGCAGGATGTGCTTTCTGGGCTTACGATGATGCTTTTGAAACAACTTGCAGAGACACAGAGCAGTGAGATGTAGCAGTGTTGTGTGGCCATTGAGATCTGCTCTTGTCTCCTGGGAGCTGGGACACAAGACGTGGTCACAGACTGTTTTGCTTATCTGTGAAACCATCAGCATTCCTTTTTTCTTTTTTTTTTTTTTATGAATTCTATTCAAGATAATCATAAAAAAAAAAAAAAAAAGGGAAAAATAAAAGACTGGGGGCTGGATCCTGTTTTGCAGTATGGGATTTGCTCCTGAGTTAGAAAGCAGTGTTAAGCAAACATGAAAGGCAATGGGCACGAGGGCTGGTGGATCCCAGACTGGCAGGTTTGGCAGCTGCTGCAGAACCAACTCTGATCCCAGCCCCAGGCAAGCCACAGAAATCCCCAGGGATGCCCAGAGCAGCCCCCAGGCATCCGACTGCAAAGCTGGGAGCCTGTGGGGCTGCAGAGGACTTCCTCTGGCTCTGCCCTGGTATCAAAGAGATCCAGGCTCCAGCTTGCTGCCTTTGAGACTCTGGCAGAGCAGCTCCAGTGGGATTTCCCACATAAGATGTGCTAAAACAAAACCCAAGCCACAGGGTCCCCGCAGCAGCAGCAGCAGCTGATCTCACCGATACTCACCCAGGGTAGCACAGCCCTCCCCAGCCCTTCATGGCTTTGCTTGCACAGCATCACCTTGGCTTCCTCTCATCCTTGCTTCAGACTTAACGTATGGGATCGTGTGTATCCGCTTTCCCTTGGGCCTGGGCGCTGCTGCAGTCCTGCTCCACAGTGCTCCCACCTTGTGCTGAGCCAGCTGGCCACTGCTGGCCATGCCATCTGTGTGGCCCTTCCAGTCAAAGTCCATTCCCTATTACTTTGTGGTTGTTTTTTTTTTGTTTGTTTGTTTTTTGTTTTTTCCTCTTTTCTTTAACATCATAGGAAACCTGTAGTTGGAATTGTTACTATTAGAAACCGATCACATGTTCCATCCAGGTATTTTCATCTCTCTGGCGTTACGCAAAATTAAAGGCCTAAGAGAGAGATATAACCGAACATAGAAGTAGAGTTAGGCTTGTTGTCTGAGTTTTGAGGCATATAGTATAATGGGAGAAGGAAAAAAATTAAAATAAAATAAAATTAAAATAATGATGTTGCACAACTTGTAGAAAACAAAGAAGGGAAAGGGTTAATGTATTAAATGTGCTAAATTACATTAAGAACTTAATTTTATTAAAGTATTATTACTTAAGAAACTTGGTATCTGTTCTTGGTTTGTGTCTGTTCGCACTTGAGGAAGGGCCAGGAGCTGTGGTCGGGAACAAGGCCCTGCTGGGCTGAGTTCCAGGGCAGTGGGGCTGGACCTCCCTCTGCCACCCCTCCTGCATCTCCCACCAGTCCCATGCTTTTGGCAACAATTCCTGGGGTTCATTAAAGCACTTGTGAGATGATGAGCCTCCTGAGGCAGCTGCTTCTCCCAATGCTGGTGCTAGCAGGTCCCACAGCTGTGAGCCACCCTGTGCCACATTTCACCCTTCCCACTTCTTCATTGCAGCAGAAAACACCTGAAAACTGGAAAGCCTGGAACAAAACTGAGTTGCCCAGCCCAAAAGTGTCTCCATGAGTATAAATGAACTCATCATCACCTGTGTCCATGCCAGTGTCTGGCTGGTGGCATGTCCAGTGGCAGTGAGGCCCAAGGGACACTTGGCTCAGCCCTGTCCCTTTGTGGAGCAGCATCCATTCCCCACCTCTCCAGCCGGTGGGGCTGACATCACTCCTGGCACCGTGTTCTGCCGTGGGCAGATGGTGTGGGAGGAGGGGGTGCTTGGCAGCTCCAGCTGCTCTGCATGCTGCCAGGGCTTTGCCAGCTGAGGTGGGCATGGGGTAAAGCACAGTGGGACAGCCCCCAGTGTAGTCAGCCCCAGGGTATGACAGAGGATGTGTCTGGCTGGCTCAGGGATGAGGCTGCCTCTGGAGGGGGCTGTGCTGTGGCGTAGGGGGACAGTGCCAGGGAGCTGGAGCCAAGGTTAAGGTGCTGCCAGGGCTGGGGTGGCTGCACAGCGGCTGGATAAGAAGGGGCACCCACATGGTGCACCCCCCCTCACTGCCCCTGTGCTGGCAGCAGGATCCTACCTGTTTTTCTAATCCTGAATTTCAAGCTCTCCCCTCTGGTCTCCCAGCAAGACACCACCCCCTTGCCCAGTCCTACCTTCCTCCCAACCCTCCTCCTCCTCACCCTTCATTGCCTGTGCTTCCCAGCTGCCCCATGTGGGGCTGGCACTGCTCTTGCCTCAAGGAAAGACCTGGCAGAGAGAGAAAAGGCTTCAACAGCAGCTTTATTTGGGGATTTTGCCTCAATTTCTGTTCCATCAACAAATCATGCCCCAAGGGGGAACCCTGGCCCAGATCCTACTGGCACAGCCAAGTGAGATGCAGAGACTGGGGGCAGCTGTGGAGAGAAAGAGAGATCCCCCAAAACCCCACACAGTGACAGGAGCCACAGTCCCAGTACTGGGGCAATGGGGCAGGCTTTCCCACCTGCACCCTTCTTAACTGACACCTGCCAAACACCCCTGCCAGCTGCACAGGGCTCAGCACAGTCTGTCCCAGCATCCTGGGTGATGCACACCCTGGGGGTGGCCACTGTCCCCCAGGCAGGGCACAAGGCCACTGTCATCCCACTGATGTATCAGACACTCCATCCAGTGGTGCCGTGTCCCCAGGCTGGGCCATTCAGCCACCAGCCACAGGGGCCAAACACTCGAGCAGGGAAGGGCCAAGCCAAGCCAGGGGGTCCTTGCAGCTGGAGCTGAGGGGTCCCCAGTGCTGACACTGGCTCCCACACAGGCAGCTGTGCAGAGGGACCATGTGCCTACCCTCAGCACCTCATCCCTGCCCTCACCCTCAGCCCCAAAATCCCTGTCCCCTCCTCGGGGCTTCCCAAAGGCCACGGCCCCCAGCCCCTGCTCCCATCTCTTTCCATGGAAGAGTCACAGCTCTTCCCTTTGCTGGGGTCATGCCAAGGGTGGGGGTCACAACACAAAAACAGCGTCACCCCCACAACCCTGGATGGCTCCAGCAGCACCCAGAGGCACTCCCAGCTCTTGGTGCTGCTGGGACAGGGCTGGGCACAACTGGCCGCATCACTTCTGGTTTCACCAGGCAGGAGAAGGATGCACCCGGTGTCCCCCTCCACACCCATCCCACGGGGCCACACACAGGGCATCACCAAACCGGGACTCACCATGTTTGGGCTTGCTCAGTGCCACCCAGCCACTGTGCCTGCAGGGCTAAAGGGAGCAGGGACACAGAGGATGGCATGCCCCCAGCCTTGGGGAGTGAGGGGAAGACACCCCAATGCTTTGCCTCCTCCCATTTTTGTTGGTCCTACACAAACACAGGTGGGGCAGCATATGGGCAGGATGATGGTGCACACAAAAGCAGCCACCAGCCTGCACTGCTCAGGGAGCTGCGGTGGGCACAGGTAGAGGGTGAGACACACGATGCCACAGTGTGTTGGGTGGTGGGGGGTCAAGGTGGGGGCAGCCCAGGGGCTCAGATATTCTGGCAGCAGGGCGTTTGCCGGCCCTCCTGATGCGTGGGCAGCACCTGGATGGGCTCGATGGTGGTAGAGGGACCAAACTCTGACTCCGGCTGCCCTGTGATCTGTCTCTGGGACACGATGCGGTAGATCTCTGCCAGCAGAGAAAGAGGAAGTGAAAAAATTCTTTAGGTAAGCATTCCCACAAACACACAGCTCCAGGGGTGCAACTGCCCACCTCTCCACAGCCAAAGGAGCAGGATTCCAACCCAGATCCCACCCAGTACAGCCAGGCCCCCAGGGGTGTCCTGAAAGGACACAATGTCCAAAGCCATCTCTATTCCTGTCCCGCCCTTTCCTGGCTGCCCCTTACCTGAGAGGATGTTGTGGAAAGCTGTCTCCACATTGGTGGAATCCAGAGCAGATGTCTCAAGGAAGGACAGCCCATTCTTCTCTGCAAGAACAGTGTGAGCTCAGGTGGGTGCCATGAGCCCCAGCCAGATGGGATGGGACCGGACAGGATGGGAGAAGATACCTGCGAAGCTCCTGGCCTCATCGGTGGGCACTGCCCGCAGGTGCCGCAGGTCGCTCTTGTTGCCCACCAGCATGATGACAATGTTGGCGTCAGCGTGGTCCTGCAGCTCCTTGAGCCAGCGCTCTGCATTCTCATATGTCAAGTACTTGGCAATGTCATAGACAAGCAGAGCTCCCACTGCCCCCCGGTAGTACCTGAGGGACAGTGAGGGGACAGCGTCACAGCAGGGTCCCAGGCAAGGGCCACAGGTTGGGACCGAGAAAACTCACGCTGAGGTGATGGCCCGGTATCGCTCCTGCCCGGCCGTGTCCCAGATCTGAGCCTTCACTGTCTTGTTGTCCACCTGGATGCTCCTCGTGGCAAACTCCACCCCGATGGTACTCTTGCTCTCCAGGTTGAACTCATTGCGGGTGAAGCGCGAGAGCAGGTTGCTCTTTCCCACCCCTGAGTCCCCGATGAGCACAACTGGGGGGCACAAACACAGTGTCAGCTCTCCCAGCCACCCAGGAAAGGCACCCATCCCACAGCCAGGCAGGGATGGGAATCTCCTCATCTGCCCCCCCATCCAGACCCCACCTTCATCTTATCCAGGAGGAACTGGCAGGTGAGGGGTGAAGCAGAGCAGGACCAGCTGCCTCCACCCCTCCCAGCAGTATCACTGCTGCCTATAAATACCCCCTGAGAAAATTTCTGCCATTGCTGGGAAGTTGCCAGAAGTTTCTGTCCCTGGGGATGAGAAGGCACCATAAGCACTGATGTGCCCAAAATGGGCAGAAAACCAGGGTCAGGACCTGTGCAGGGAGAGCCAGGCCAGAGGCCAGACACAGCTGGGGCTCCTCTTGCCAACCCTGTGTGCCTTCCAACTGTGAGGGCACACTGGAAGGCTTAAAGACACGGTTTGAAAGGAAGCATCCTCCTCTGCTGCTGGTCCAGGAAGTCCCTGGGTGTGGGTTAAATGCATTTTCTGCCTGTCCCAGATCTGGCTGGTTCCTGTAAAACCTGGTGAAACAGGCTCTGGGGTGCTTTATCACACACCTCCCCAGTCAAGTTTGTTGAGTTAATGACTCAACAGGTTTTTGGTTTTATTTTTTAAGTTAGTTTTAATTCCCTCACTGCTGATGCTGTTCATTCCCCAGGTGTACTCAAACACTTCACCCGCTGGTGGGACGCATCTCCCCAGGGCTGGACAACAGCAGGGCTCAGGTCACAGCCATCCAGTGACCACGGTGGGGAGAACACAGGAACAGCAGCACTAGCAGAGGGCCACTGGGATGGCACACACTGCAGGAGCCTCAGCAAAGCACAGCCACACTCAGTCAAGGCTCCGCAGCTGCCTTCCTGCAAGGATGCTGCTCCGTGTCCTGGATAACCCCTCCCCACCAGCTCCAGCTTGTACACACGGCTCCCCTGCCTGTGCAAAGCCTCCAAGAGTGCAGCCACCCCCTTGACAAAACCCTCAGTGCAGGGCAGCCAGCAAACAGCCTGGCACCAGGAAGCCCATCAGGAAGTGGGACAGCTCTCTGGGATCCCTGAGGGAAGCTGGAAGGCACCGGAACACTGCTGGCAATCGCTGTGTCAGGACAGGCAGCGAATGAGGGAATGGCAGCTCCTCCACAGCATCACAGAAAGGTTTGGGTGGATGAGACCGTAAAGCCCATGTTGTTCCACCTCTTGGTTCACTAGACCAGGTTGCTCCAAGCCCCATCCAACTTGGCCTAGAACACTTCCAGGGATCCAAAGCCATGCAGCTGGGAGAGCTCTTGCCTGGGCATCGTACTCAAAGCACAACCCACATTCAGAGTTTCCCTCACACCAGGTCCCAGACTAGCTCCAGGGAGGAGGATTTTCCTGGGCAGCAGCCAGGGGAGGTGTGCAAGGAGCCAGGGGCTACCGGGACGCTGCTGGCTGGAATTACGTTGTGTCGGTGGCTAGAATTACTTGGGGCCTTGCAGGCAGGCCTGTGTGGGTAGGCTGACTCACAGCCACCCACTGGTGAGCTCACACCCTGGATTTTATGGCTCAGGAGGCTGTGGCATTGCCAAGATGTCCCTTTGCTCCCTCAGCACCTGTTTTGGCCACAGGAGACCGCAGGGAAGCCTGGCATGCACAGGGATGGGGGTACTTCATGGGGATGCTGGGCTTCCACAGGCTGAAACACCAACGTTGTGTCTCCTAGAGCCAGTCCCTGTCCCCCACCCTCCCCGTGCACAGCAGTGAGGTCAGAGCACGACCAGCACCAGGAAGGACAAGCCTGGATCTCTGGATCCTCTACTGCAGCTGGGGAGCAGCACGGCTTTCTCTGCTAGGCTCGATTGCTCAGCTCCCAGACGTGCTCCCCTCACCCAGTGCCGCAGAGCAGAGCGCCCAGGGGTGCTCAGGGGCCGGCACGGCACCCACAGAGTCCCACGGCCCAGCCTTCCCCACCAGCAGCAGCTGCCGTGGCCACAGCCACCCCTCCAGGGCTCTGCGCACTCGGGCCGGGGCCGCAGCCTCCTCCCGCAGCAGTGAGGGGCTGCTGTAATGAGCAGCAAGTAAGTAACAAACCATCAGAGCGCCTCTAGCAACCCCCCCGACCACGGCAGCACTTCAGCCCCAGCCTCACCAGTATCCGCCCTCCTTCCCAGCACCGCACCACAAGAAGCGCCGCTGCCGAGAATTGGGAGTTACATCCCAGTACGAGCCCCAGCTCCCAGTCCCAGTCCCAGCCGAGGGTGCTGCGGGGAGCCAGCCCGGAGGGCAGCGGGCTGAGCCCGGACACAGACCCACCTTTGAAGAGATAATCGTACTCATCGTCCTTGCCCCGCATCTCGCCCAGCACCGCAAGCCCGCTCCCACTGGGCTAACTGGGATTTCCGGACCTTATCCAGCCCTGGCAGGGGCTGTCCCCCGCCACCCATTGGTGGCCACAGCCTCTCCTGCTCCGCACCCATTGGCGGCCGGGGCTGCCCGTCAGCACCCAGGTGTGCTCACCTGGGCCAGGTAAGGGGGCAGGGACAGCCACCACCTGTGAGCGCTCCTGGTGGGGACAGCGATGACCACGGGCTCCACGCAGAACCGTGGGTGTGATGTGGAGCTGGGCTGGCACGGCTGGCGTGGTGCAAAGGGAAAATGAGCGAAGACACGGAGGATCCAGCAGGAATGACGCGGTTTCCGAGGGGTTTCGGATAACTGGCAGAGGCTGCGTCATCGTTTGAACTGATAAAGTTCAAACAGGGGACCTAAACTGGGAAAGGCTGCGTGGGGAGGGAGCACAGGGAGAGCATGGCTTCAGGGCAGGAGGGAGTGCAAGGGGGGCATCGGGGTAGGAGATGGCATAGGGGAGCCGTGGCATCCAGCTGGGCTGCTTTGGAGGCCATGATCTTCAGCACATTATGAAGGTGGGGACCCGGGGCGTCGACCACAAACACGCAGGAATTCCAGCTGAGTAAATCTGCATTTCACAAGTCCTTTAATGATTGTGTCACGCCCGTGCTGGACACGGAGCTGCTCCCGGCCCCATGGCACTGGGCCCTGTGCTGAGCCCTGTCCTACCATGCAGAGGGGTGCCAAGCAGGCACCTTTGTTTGGTCCTGCTGCCACACGTGCCCCGTGTCTAGGGATGGGACAGATGTCTAGGGATGAGACAGGCTCAAGGGCTGAGTGCTGCCACTTCACACCCCAGGGCTTGGCTCGACTCCAGAGCAGTCCCTGGTGGGACAGACACCTGTTGGTCAGCCACATCCTCAGTGCACAGCACAGGGTGGCCCTACAGGAGCAAGCCCAGGGCCAGAGGCAATCAGAGAGGCTCCAGTAGCTGGCATCATCTTCCCAGAACCTCCTGGCTTCTTCCCCAGAGGTGCCTTGGGGGTGTCCTGGTCCCCTTCCCCGGAGGTCCAGAAGGGCTGAAACAATGCGTGACAGTGGCGATGCTAATCAGGGCTCAGCAAAAATGAAACAGAGAGAGAAGAGCTCATGGAACTGGCACTTCTCACTGTTTATGGCAGAATTTGGCCCCTGCCCAGGCTGCTGGTCCCCACTGCACCAGGACAGGAGTGGCACTGCAGACAGGGTGACACTAGCCTGTGTTGGTGGCCACTGGTGTGTCCTGGGGCTGTGGGGGTCCCGGGTTGCCCAGTGGCTCAGAGGGCCACACAGCACGGGCGCCTGTGGAGAGTTCCCGGGTTGCCCAGTGGCTCAGAGGGCCACACAGCACGGGCGCCTGTGGAGAGTTCCCGGGTTGCCCAGTGGCTCAGAGGGCCACACAGCACGGGCGCCTTTCCGCCTGTGCTGGGGCCATGCTTGCAGGGTTCTCACTGGCAAGTGACACCGTGTTGCTTTGGCTGCTCCTCTGCTTCTGCTTCTGCACTTTGTAGAAGATTTCTGCCAAAGAAAAAGTGTGTCAGCCAAGGCCCCCTGGGGATGCAGGGACAGCTTCAAGCCTGCAGCCCCCACTGCGCGCCCACAGCTCGGCACACCGGTGGCTCTCTTTCCCCTCTACGCAGCAGAGGGGTGACTTGAGGGGTGACAAGGGAACAGCTTCCACAAGTTGCATCCCTGCAGCACTTGGGGAACACCCTGTGCTTGGGCAATTTCCTCTTGCCCAACCTGGGATTAGTGCTTCACCCTGTTCTGGGGCTGGCAGCTCACTGGGCCAGGCTGGCTCAGCACAGCACTGCATGGCACAGCATGGCATGGAATAGCACCGCATGGCTTGGCATGGCTCAGCACGGCATGGCACAGCTCACTGCCCGGATGCTGCTGGCTGCCATTCCTGGAGAGCTGCTCTTGGACTCCATCCCTGGCCCCCCAGGTCCCCACAGCCGGTTTGGCAGGATGCTGGAGACACCAACTCATGAGCCCAGGACAACAGGAAGGAGACTGGAGATTATGGGGGAGAAGCAGCTCCTGGGGCTTCAGGGATGCCCAGGGGACATGAGAACAAAGCTTCAGGTATGGGAAGTGAAACACCCAGCACCAAAGGCTGAAAACCAAAGCAGCCAGAAAGACAACACCAAAAGACCTCATGAAGCTAACCCCAAACGGTTACTAACCCCAAAGTTCCCAAAGGAAGCTAACCCCAAATAGCTCAAGTGGAGCAGGGAGAGAAGTGCTGCACATCATCTGTTCAGCCCTGCATCCCTGGGAAAGGGACCCCACAATGCCCTGGGACTCTGCTGCATCACGGCACCAGTGCCTGTACCCTTCAGGATGGTCTCAAATGCTTCCTCAACATTGGTGGAGTCCAGCGCCGAGGTCTCAACAAACAGCAGCCCGTTGTTGTCTGCAAGGAGAGGAGCCCCCTGAGATGATGCAGACCCCAGTGAGGACATGGCTCCAATCTGGAGCACCTTTATTGATGTTCAGATGCCTGCACTGGTGCAGCTCCAAGCTGTTGGGGAGGTTCTCAAGCCCCCAGCCCTGTGGTGGGGTGCCAGCCTGTACCTGCAAACATTTTCGCCTCTTCCATGGGCACCTCTCGAGCCTGTGCAAGGTCGGTCTTGTTTCCCACCAGCATGACAATGATGCTGGCCTCGGCATGGTCGTACAGCTCCTTCAGCCAGCGGTCCACCACATCGTATGTCTGGTGCTTGGTGATATCAAACACGACCAGGGCACCCACAGCCCCCCGGTAATACCTATTACAGAACCCCATCATCATTCCATGCTCCAGATCCACCCCCAGCATCCTCAGCCATGGGGCTGAACCCAAATCCCAGGAGAAGCACGGATTTCAGGCCCCCCATCCTTACGCTGAGGTGATGGCACGGTAGCGTTCCAGTCCAGCAGTGTCCCAGATCTGAGCCTTCACCACGGCGTCTCCCACCAGGATTGTGCGCGTGGAGAACTCCACGCCGATGGTGGTGCGGCTGTCATGGTTGAACTCGTTGCGGGTAAAACGAGAGAGCAGGTTTGTTTTTCCCACCCCAGACTCCCCAATCAGGACGACTGTGGAAGGAAGCAGAAATCCCACTGAACTGCCTCAGCTACCAGCACTGGTTGCATGGGCATTGCTTGCTGTCCAGTCGCAGAGGCTGGGCAGATGTGCGGGTTTAACCCCTGGTGGGGTTGCTCCTTCAGCAAACAGGGGTCCCTGTGGGAGCCTAGCTGTGCTCCCTAGTGCTGGTGTGGCCCCAGAGCTGCTCAGTGGGGTCATGGCTACTGGGCTCTGGGCAGCAGGAGCAGGGCAAGGATGTTGGTGAGCCCTGAGCCACCCTGCTGCAGTGGGCACTCAGGATGGGTGGCACACCAGAGCCTGTCGGTCTCCACTTGCCCAGAGGGAGCACTAAGCTCCAGCAGAGCCCAGCCAATAGCACCTGGCAGAGACCAGGTGGGCCCAAGGAGCTCAGCATGGGTTGTGTGAGCCTGTGCCCACATTTCTCCAGCTCAGGTTTGACCCCCGTGTTCTTTGCACATGCCACTGCTCAGGTCACTGCAGCAAATGACCTGCAGCAAATGACTCTTCAATGCCCACTGCTCTCGGGGGTTACAGGCTTTCATGGCATTTTTGTCTCACACAGTTAGCCCCAGATTTCACACACCCCCCCATCCCACAACAGCAATTTGCCTGGCACAGCACACCTGCAGCCTTGGGGTGAGTGTGGATCTCCCCGGCTCTCTGTGGACCTTGGCGCTGCTCACCAGCCCTGGCCTCACTTCTGTCAGTGGTCGGTGCCTGCTCCCTTGTCCCCTGAGCCTCCTAGTGCTGACCCTGACCCTGGTGCCCATCCCAGCCGCGGGGGGAGTCAGCACCGTCCCAGGTCGGGACACAGCCACTCTAGGGAAGGGGCACCCTTGTTCCCTCCCCGCAGTTCCTGCCTTTCTGCTCCACCCCTTTTGGGGAAGGAGGGGGTCGCACCGAGCGCAGGACTCACCCTTGAAGACGAAGTTATAGTCCTCCTCGGCGCTGCCCATGTCGCCCGGCTGCCGCCTGCCCTCGCAGGGCCGCCTTGGGTTTCCTCCTTCCCGCTGCCGAGCCTCGAGCAGGCGGCGGGCCGGGCTCCCGGAGGCGCCGAGGGAGGACACGGAGCGAGCAGAGGTTCCTTTCTGTCGAGGAGCGAGCGGGAGCCAAGGGGGTCCAGGGGAGCGCGGAGGGTCTGGGACAGCAGCAGCGACAGAAGCCAAGCTGGCGACAGCGCGGCCGCTTGACTCAAGGGGTGGGACTGGGTGTCGCAGCACAGGTTGGGCAGGTAGTGTCACCTCTGGGACCGTCACGGGGCTGGAGGAGGAGCCAGGGCCTGATCCTGAGTGCGGGGCAAGCTGAGGCAGCGAGAACTGTGTGGGCAACACGGGCAGGGAGGGGTGCGAGGGCAGCGTGGGCAGGCGGGGGGAGCGTGCACAGGACAGCGGGGGCGACACGGGCAGCGTGCGCGGTGAAGGTGGCACGGGCGGGGACAAAGGGCTGCGATGGCAGCAAAGCAGACCGGGGCAGCATGGGCAGAGCAGGATGGCAGCGAGGGCAGCTGTGCCAGGAGCAGAACCCTCGCTCAGCCCGGCTCCCGCCGCTGTGAATGTTCCCTCGCCTCTGCTGCCATCGTGTGAAAGCCAGGGAAATTGGGACGGGAAGGAGCCCCCACCACCTCCAGCTATCCAGTGTGACCAGCAGGGTTGTGCAGGGGCTCGGCTGTTGTAACCTTTCTTCTTTGATAACAGCCCGTTGCAAATTCTTGTCTTTCCCCAGGGCAATTCCCAAACACTGCCCAGGCAGCCAGGTTTTGTTACCCCTCAGCTCCCCGACAAGAGACACGATGGACACAAGCATCAAACACTTTTATTACCCCAGCTTTTGTATTCCTGCCATTCTTTTTTTTTAAGACCACCCTAGAGCTCCGGGATGCTCATGGGGCCACTCACGCCCAGGTCATGCCAGTGACGGTGTCAGAGCCCAGTGGCACCTCAGAGCCCTCCACTGCCCCCTCACGATGCAGCCACCTGTGTGAGCGGCTCCTCCAGGTACTGGACCAGCGCCTGTGCCTGCAAGCAGAGAATGGCATCAGCCACACCCAGGTGGGTTTTGCAACTCTAAGTCTGCAGCCCTGCTGACCCTCCAGCCACCTCCCCATCAGCGTTACCTTGGCTTTCAGCATCCCAAATCCGACCGTCTCCTTGGCGTACATGCAGAGCAGCAGGTTTGCCACCCGTGTGATAGCCACTCGCCCCTCCTGCCCAGGGAGAAACAGCACCTGTTGCACCCCAGCTTGGCCTGGACCCCCAGCATGGTCCTGGCACCACAGCCAGGCCCCCAGGGAGGGCGGGGCAGGCCCCAGCCCCACGTACCATACAGTCCATGAGGATAAATTTGAGGTTGTCCTCATTGAATGCCTGGTGCCCATTCTTGTCATAGGCCACCCAGATGTTGCTGGCAATGGCTGCGGTGACCCTGGCATCAGTGTCACCATAACCCGAGTAGGCAAGCAAGGATCCCTCGTTGTTCAGCAGCCTGGAAAGGACACGGTAGGACAAACTAATGCCTCTAACACCAGACCCCCTTTCAGTACCAGGGGTACAGCAAACCCCCCACCCACTCCCAAGACACCCCCACTCTGCAGGGGTCTGGCAGGGGGTGGGGGGGCTTCACAGCCAGAAGGCTCTGCAGTGGCCCCAGGCCCAAGCAGGGCAGTGCAGGGCTGTGGTGGCTCTGTCTGTTGAAGCAGTGGGGCCTGCCACAGGCTGGGCATGAACCTGTGAGACAAACACTGTGCACAGCCCTAGCTCTGTGCATCACCCTTGCACTGTGCAGGAGGCATCCCAGCACCAGACATCAGGAACGGTGCGAGGCCTCGGCCCCACACACTGTGCACGGCCCCATCACCATCTATAGCCCAGCACCATGCAGGGGGTGAGGTCTCAATCCCATGCCTGCCTCTGGAAGGGGCCTAGTCTTCCCCAGGCAGGGACAGGGAGCATCCCTGGGCAGGATCAGGACAGGAGCAAGAAGCTTCTCCAGGCAGGGGCAGAAGCAGGGGCTGGGGGCAGGGGAAAGGCAGGCAGCGTCTTTGGGCTGGGGCAGCATTCTCAGGACAGGAGCAAGGAGCATCCCCCGATGCAGGGACAGGGGCAGGCAGCATCGCTGGGGCAGGGACGAAGGAAGCATGCCCGAGGAAGGTGCAGGGGCATAGGCAGGAGCAGGGACGGGGTCTGGGGCAGAAGCAAGGGCTGTAAGCAAGGGCAGGGGAACGATAGGCAGCATCTACCGGGATAGGTACAAGGGAAACATCCCTGGGCAGGGAAAGCACGTCCCCGCAGCGGCGTCACCTCGCATCAGGGCCCGCTCGGGGAAAGCCGCCCCCCGCCCGGCCCCCCGCACTCACAGCGTGCTCTGGACGCCGCCGGTGTTGGCCTGGCTGAGCACCTGCGTCAGGGCCTTGGGCCGCAGCATGGCCGCCGCCGGGACCGCGCGCCGGGGGTGGGGCTGGGGCGCGCGCCGCCGTCACGGGGCCGCGCCGGGCCCGGAGCATCCCGGGGGTTGTAGTCCCGCCCGAGCCCTGCCGGTGTCCCCGTGGGAGGGCGTCCGGGGGCGCCGGGACTCGACAGGGGCCTCGGCAGCAAAAGGGAGCACGGGGCAGGCGTGGGTCCTCGGTGACCGAGGCGATCGGGGATGTGGCCGGTTAAAGGGGAGGTCGTTGGGGGCACCGGTGGGGCCCTTCGGGCAGCATCCCCTCCCCGCTCTGCCCTCCCCTGCCTCTGGCCCCCTCTTTCCGCTCCCGTTGTGCCTCCCCCGCCCCGCTCTGTCCCCCCTCGCCCCCGCGCTGCCGCTGTCCCTCCGGGCCGCCGGGGGGAGCTGTCGTGGGCCGAGGAGCTGCTGTGGCGCCGCTCCCGGCTCTCTGTGGTGGCGGTGGCCCGGGCTGGCGGCGGGCGGTGAAGATGGCGGAGCCGAGTGGCGGCGGCGGCGGCGGCCCCGGCCCCGGGCCCGGCGGGGACGGCCAGGCGGGGCCCGGCGGGGCGCTCATCCGCGTCACCGTGAAGACCCCCAAGGACAAGGAGGAGATCGTCATCGCGGACGGCGCCTCCGTGCGCGAGGTGGGGGCGGGGACAGGTCGGGGGGGCGGAGAGGCCTGGGGGGGGGCTGTCGCGGGTGTTGAGGGGCGGGGGCGGCTGGTCTGGGGGGCTGAGGGATCGAGGAGTGGGGTGAAGGGTTTTTGGGAAGGGGCCTGAGTTTGGGGCGGGGAAGAATTTCGGGCGGGCTTGAGGAGCGGGGGAAGGGGGCTCTGGGCTGGGGGGGCACTCAGAGGGTCCAGGGGGCCTCCTGGAGACCCGGATCAGGGCTGGGACTGGCTTCGGGGTCAACCCTGGCCTTTCGGGGCACCCCGGACCTTTGGGCCTTACCGGAGCCACGGTGGGAGGGAGCGGGGAGATCTGAAGGAGGGCAGGTGCTGGAAGGCTTTGGAGGAGAAACAGTCCCGAGGGCGGGAGGTGATCTGGGGGGCTCATCTGTGGGAGGGGTCGTGGGTGTCGAAACCACAATAGTTGAGGGACTCGGAGAGCGGCTTTGGGGGTGGTGGCAGTGGGAGGGGTATGAAGGACCGGGGTGGGGTCTGGGGGCTTGGCCCGTGGGCTGGGCTGCGTGGGAGAGTGTTCCGCGAGCGGAGGTGTGGGAGAGGTGTTGGGATTGTGGGCAGAGCCGTATGAGTGCGTGGGGGGCTGCCGGGGGTGCAGCTGGGGGTCCTGGCGTAGGTCTGGACTTCTCTGGAGGCAGATTCCCCGGGTGAGGGGAGACGAGCCGGGCAGGTGTTTGGGACCAACGTTGGATGAGGTGGAGGAAAGGAAACATCGGCTCTTTCGCGGGTGCGCTGGCGGGGGGCTCTGCACCTGCTAGGGAGCGAGAGCAGGCTGGGATTGGTAAGAGCTGAGGTTAGCAGAGGCTGGGATTGGCAGGGGCTGGGTCTAGGGCTGGCCCTGGCATTGAGGAAGTGGCGATGCCCACTGGGACAAGGTGTCATGGGCTCTGCGCTGGGCTGGCTGCGTGCTTTGGTTGGCGTGTGAAGGGCCTGGCAGGGATCTCTGGGCAGCAGCCCATGGCGTGGGCAGGGGCTGTGCACGTGTGGCCCTCCTGATCCTTTCTGTCCGGAGAGCCCATTGGTACAGGGAGTGTAGAGTGAGGGCTTTGTGAGGGCAGGGCATAGGGCTGTGTGGGGAGAGACACAGACATGGTGATCTGGGACCAGGGCTGTGGTGTGCCCACCCTTGTTTTTAGAGTTCTGGTGCGAATGCTGAGAGCTCTGGCATGTGTTTCACTCTCCATCCTGGCCTTCCCCTCTGAGTCCCCTACAGTTTGTGTTTTCCAAGTGCAAGGCTTTATTTCCTCCGAATCAATCTGGGAAAGCCCTGGCAGGGCCAGCAGTGAGAGTCTTGCTTGCAGGTGTAAATCTCAGCACAGCACACAGTAAAGAAGAGGTGCCCATGCTCTGTGGCACGCTCACAGGGAATTCAGTTGCAGAAATAGGAATTGGAGAAGACCTAGTTTATTTCCATTGGCTGATAAGGGATTATTCCCTTTTCCATAGAGCTCTGTCCTGTATTAAATCAGAGTTCGGCTTTCCTTAGGAAAAAATCTCACATGAGCAGACGAAACCAGTCATTCAGGATAAATGGTGTGTTTGGGTTAGGTCTGAAGCACAACTGGTCTGGCTTTGGAAGCCTTCAGCTATTCTGAGGGAACGGCTCTGCTTTTTCTGAGATTTACTGCATAGTTTGTGATTTCAGAGCTTGTCTTTGCTTTGTTTTGGTTTTCATTAATACCTCAGACATTATCAGCAGCTGGTGACTTTGTGGTACCTTCATGGGCTCTGAGGGCTTGTCAGTTTCTTGTGGTGTTCCCAGAGTAGATGTGATCCCTGGAGCTTTATGTTACTGGTACCAGTCCTTTATCTGAAAAATGCTCTGTTTGTTTTTCAGTTCAAAGAAGAGATTTCTAGACGGTTTAAAGCCAAACAGGATCAGCTGGTTCTGATCTTTGCTGGGAAGATCCTGAAGGATGGAGACACATTGAATCAGCATGGGATCAAAGATGGGCTCACTGTTCACTTGGTCATTAAGACTCCGCAGAAGTAAGAGTTTGGTCTTGGGGGGGCTGGGGTCAAATGGGAATAACTGATTGTGATGATCCTGGTGAGCTTTCCCTGCCCCAGCTGTGCCACACAGCAATGGGGTTTGTCACTTGGTGTCATGGATAACACGGCTGTGATGGTGTATGGCAGATACCTGGAGGGGCTGGTCCTTTAACATTACTTGTGTGTGTGTCTTGGAAGAGCCCATCAGAAATGGATACTGGTTCTAGCAAACCAGCAAAAGTTGTAGAAAAAGTTTCTGACAAAAGAAATTACTTTCCCAGTGAATTGTTGCTGTAGAAGCCAGTACCTGGGTTTTCTGTCACCTGCTACATACTCAGCTCGGAGCCTGTGCTCAGGCTCTCTGAGGCGCCACAAGCGACACACGGCATGCGGAGCCCTGTGGGGCACCTGTGTGGCCCCTGGAGGCACAGCTGCACAGGCTGGTGCAGACAGGGGATGCTCCACGTCAGGAGTGTGCAGAGGCTCGGGCTGTGCAACAGACATGGGGCAGTGTGGGGGTTTGCTCATGTGGTGCTATGGGTGCACCTGGGGCAGTTTCCAGTGGGGATGTGGCTCATGTGCACCACAGGCCTCAGGCTGAGAACAGGACACAGGGCTGACCTCAGGGTCCTGCAGGTTTAGCTCTTCCCAGTACTTCCCAGAGGGGTGGTGGGCATGGGAGGATTTTGGGAATAGCTTCTTTGCTTTAGTTGCAGCCACATTTCATTGATCTTCACAGCCGTGCCTCAGGCTCCAGCCACAGTGTGTTTCAGCTCCTGGGGAGCTCCAGGGCTATGTCTCTGTGCAGTTCTGCTGTCCCCTGGGAGAGCTGCATTAATCAAGATTTTTTTTTTCCCCTGTTTTGTTTTTTTTTCCACCTGTTTTTTATAAACACAAGGAAGTATACTGCCAAGTTTGCAGCCTCTCCTTGGATTTTGCCTCTCCAGGTAGCCTGAGAGCCTGATGCTGTTTCCACTATAAATGTGGTATTGGTGAACCATTTCCAAAGGATGAATTAGAGCTGTACTGGGCTGCTCATTTTGCTCCTGCTAATAGTCCTAGATAAGTGCTTACTGAAGACATTACAGCCTCTTCCTGTGACAAGAGGCTGAGAGAAGCCAAGTGCCTTTCTCTAGCTTCCTTCTTCCTTTCTTGTTCAGCTTCCCATTTGCTTTGTTTCCCCAATCTTTGCCTCTGTCAGGCCACTGGTTTTCAGCAGCAGTCAGGTTAGTCTGGACAGTGGACAGGGACCTTCAAGGTTGATTTTTCAAGTTCTAGAAGAGTGAAAAAGGAAAGGGAGATAAAGGAAAGGAATAATTCTTGGTTTGGGAAAAAAAATAATCATGAAATTGTTCGTATTGTCAGAGGTATAATAGCATTATTGAGGTGAGTAAAGTGAATTTTGTGGTCTAATTTAATGAAAGCTCTTCAACACTAGTCCAAGACTCACTGTTATGACTGCAGAGGCTTCAGAAAATCTTCAAATGTTCTCTTTGAAATTCCTGTAACGCTTGAGGAGTAACTGTGGTAACAAGGTATTAACCTGGAATGGTGTATTCAGCAAAGATGATGTCCACTGCCTGCTGCATGGTGGCTTACAGCACAGTGCCTGTGTGGGTGTGTTAAAAGAAGCTCCAGACAACTTGTGTTGGAGCAGGAACCTTGCATCAAGGTGCAGCCAGTGGCAGAGCTGGGAATTTGGAGCCAATGAAATGTTCTGTGGCTTTGTGAGACAGGTGTGGGCTGCCTCATGCCTCAGTTTCCCTCTTTGTACAGTAATGCTGATGCTTCTTTTTGCCCCAGAAGCACTAATAGGAATATTCAGAAGTGAACATTGTTGTTTACCCCATGCACTAGCCCTGCTGTAACCTCCTGTGGTTTCTGTGGGAGCAGCAGAAGGATTTTCCTGTTTGGAGCACACTCATTGCTCAAGGATATGGCTGCAGTAAATAGTTCAGTGGCTTTCAAGGAAGAGCTGGATACAACTCAGGGTAAGACCCGTCCAGCCGCTCTGCGTGGGCCAAGACAGCATGTCAGGGGCTGCAGTGCATCAGGATGGGAGGCAGATTCCAGCAGACAGAAGACATCTGGGAGCACAGCTGTGGATCAGTGCAGGCAGAGATGGGATGGAAGCTGGGGCTGGCTGCTGTGGGGATGACTGGTGTGCTGGGAGCCCAGTTATCATGGGGTGTGCATCCTGTGTCCCTGCAGAGGACTCCCCATGCACTTCCTTGGTACCAGGAGTTTAATACTTTTTATACTTTGCAGGGTCCAGGATTCAACATCTGCTGCTTCTGCCCCCAGTGCTGCTTCTGCCCCGACTGCAACCCCTTCTTCTCCTGCTGCCCCATCTCAGCCCTC